AATAACAATTTAATAGTAAAATTTGATTATTTACAATGTTAACATTCATTTTAGTAGAATGGGTAGACTCGCCCCATACGAGAGATTTGTCAGCAGTTCTATAAAAATATACAGTAACAGCGTAACTGTTAATATTTTCTAAAATCGATTTCACAGCTTTAAAGAGGGATAAATAGCGATTCCGAAACACCTATTAAAAGCCTTTTTTCTTTAATATTTACAAAAGTTTGACCACTTGAAAGTTGACAAACTGAAAAAATGAGTAGACTCGCCCCGGTTTACGGTATATATAAATATAGAATATTTATTATATCAGGTATTATATTATAATAATTCGACCAAATTATTAGATTATATACATTTGTATATTCTAAACGTTTAAATTACAAAAAGTGAATAATGAAAACTGTTTTATATCTACATTATTCAAAGTAATGTTTAATTTCGGAGAAGGTTTTGTCCCCCGAACCCTCCCCATAACTGCTGTTCTTTGTACACAGTCTCAACCAAGTCGATCCATCTTGGGGAGGGAATCTTTGGCCAAAAGGACTTTATTACATCATCGATGCATTATTGATTGACGAACAGCTGATTTTATTTTATTTTAACCGTCGTTGAACAGCCGACCCAATTTTATGAATTTACAACTACTAATGTTCAATTCCATAGCCTTGTCATTTTGAACCCAATCCTGAAGACAAGGGAACTCCTGGATCGAGTATTGGGAGAAGTTTTGCCATCGTGGAGGACTTTTTGATGGAGCTAACCAGCATTTGCGTTTCATGGAGAGGAAGACCACGAGAACCTCCCATGGATAGCCTAACGGCAAGGGGACTCTAACCCATGATCCGTCTACTACTGAAGATATTTCACGTCAGCACTGTGGTCGGTGCAAGCCGGATGCGGAATTCATATCGACTGGGATTCGAACCCGGTTCACCTCATTGGAAGACGAACGCTCTATCCTCTGAGCCATCGCGGCTCAGCTGATTTAATTTGTTAGATTTCGAAGAATTTTACAATATCATCTTCTTTAAAAATTTTGGAAAGCCCATGTATTGTGTCTTTATTTACATGAACCCCTTCCAACGTTTAAAAGTTCCCGGAGCATCCCTAACGGGGGCTAGATCAGGTGAGATCTTGATTTTTAAAGATTAGTCAAAACTGAAAGCATTATTTTCGAGCTGAATAACTTTTCTTTTAGTAAATTGAACTTACAATAAGTGTTTTTATGAATTTAATGAAAAGAAAGGACTAAATAAAGAATTTAAATCGGCGAAAATTCCTCCAGATAATTTGGTGAAGGGCTATAAGAAAGAACGTATCGCAATTATATATACAATCATGTTTAGCCATAAAATATTATTTATGTATTAAAATATTAGCATTCTAAAATTATTACTGATTTCGAAGCTGGAAAATGTACATGGGTGGTTGGGTACGAAGACCGACTGATTCCTACTTACACATCTGCTTCTCGAGTTAATTCTAGTTTTCGGTTCATCGCCAAGTACGAATCCTATACTATAACCCATATTACATTAGTGTAGCTCTAACGTAAAGTTTTTTTCTTCTTAAAATCTAACAAAATTTGAGAAATACTTACCTGCACCATTTACTTGGGTTCAAAGGAAAATGCGTGCACTGAAAGAAAAGAAAGACTCAGTTCAATTATTGCATGATATCTTTTGCAATATTTTTTTTATATAAAAACGTTTTTTTGAACGATTTTTATTTAATAAATTAAACAATTTGAATTTATTCGGTACAAGGATTTTACATGTATAATAGCAACAACAACAAAAAATGTTATTGTTAGATTATAGAGTTATTTTTATAAAATAGAAATAACTCTATAATCTAAAAATATATTTTGAGGTGATACACCGGATGATTTAGCACAGCGGTTAGAAACTTGGAGATTAAAGGAATTGAGAATTGCACAGCCACCCACGGCAAGAAATAGGCCGCTGTTATGAATTGGCTGTTCATGCGCATTTGAAAACGGTACTGTTAGCAGAGTATGCACAGTAGTTAGTTAACTCATAAAAGGAAACTTGTATATTTTAAATATTTCTTTATTGCATATAGTACCATCTCGATACAGCAAACAACTGAAAATAATTACTTGGAATACAGCTTAACAAAATATAGTACATCATCACCAGACACAACAACATAATGCAGTGTTTCCCAAAGTGTGGTACGCGTACCCCCCAGGGGTACGGGAACAGTTTAGCTCGTTCTTATACGAAATATCTTGCAACAAAGGAACATTTCAAAAAATTTTATTTAAAAGCAAAGCTAGCCATGAAAAGTTACTTTTATGTATTTTTCTATTGGCTATTTTTTGCAGTTAATAATTAGTGGTGTCAACAGAAAGTAGTGATTTTTAACTTAAGTGCAATTTTTTTTTATAGTAAAAAATACATTCATTTTTTTATTAGTGGTACACAGCGTTACGAAAAGTTTAGAAAGGGTACACAAAAGTCATAAGTTTGGGAAACACTACATAGTGATTGACATCTGCTTTCAACAATGCGTGTCTTATTGTCTTGTCCCTCGTGTCCCTTAGAATTCGAACTAGCTATTAAGTATTTCGAGAACGAATACTCGCGGTGGAACAACGGCCAAGAGTCTATTCCCCGCGTCGAATTCTTAAAAGGTCTACCATCACTTACCAGCATAATAACACCTGCTCTGCAACTCTTCGTGGTACGAGGGAGTAGCACCAAATTTGGTGGCAAACGCAGACAGCTCATCTGGATCGAGCTCACATTAGAGATTTTAAGAAAGAAAAAAAAATTTTTTTTCGAAGTCTAAAATGTACAGTGCTCACTAAATTATAAGTCCAAAGCCAGATTCGAAGGTTGTCTTTAGACGTGCCAAGGAAAACCAATCAGTTACTTTTGAAAGTGCTAACTCTTGATTTAATATGGAAAGCGATTCAGAGATCGAATCTGCACCAGAGGATTTTAACGATTCATTTGAGGAATCGCAACGAGAATGGGTTAAGGAAGCAGCAGTGCTAAACGAAGAGTTTAGGAGATTTACCACGGAGCATGTGGGTAAGAAATTTACAACACAAAGTATTTTAACAATAACCAAAATCGCTTCGAGATAGCACAACATCGTGTAACGGCAGACCGAGGTGCTGTCCTACACTAAAAGCCTGCAAATAGAAGCACAAAGTGCGTTGAATGAGATAATCAATACGAAAATAAAGAAAGCGAGTAAGACATTCTCGGAGGCAGTAAAGACTACTACTACTTCAACTGCTAAAAGAGATCACGTTGTTTTCGTGAAGCCGAAAAAACCAAGTTCGTCTGACGAGACTGAACGATTCGTTAAAGAGCATATTAAGCCCGAGGAGCTCAGAGTGGGAGTGAAAAAGTTCAGAAAAATAAGAGATGTAGGCTTGATGATCCAACTGGAGTCCAAAAGTGATGCAGGGTTAAGTCCCCCTATTTGTCTTGCATAATTGCCCTTAATGATATGCACGAATGACGTTAAAAGAAAATATCTGTTGCCAACACACGACCGAAACTTAATTCTGTTAATTTTAAGTGTTCAGAGGAGTAACAAACCACTCCAACAGGTACATTTACTAATCCAATATTTTTTTGTGCTTAATTTTGCGTTTTTTTTTTTAATTATTTATTGTTAAAAATTGCAATTAAACAGTTCAAGGTTTAGCTTTTACATCACAGTGGCGACTCACTTGAAAAATTTCCGAATTAAGTAAGTAATTATAAATCTGCTAATTTGAAAGCATGTTTTGACAATAATTATTAGAAAACTTAAATTTTATTTAAGTTAATTTAGATAAATAAAATCGCATGCGCATGAACCATTAGCCCCATAATAGAAAAGCGTCTCCTTAAATGAAATTTCTAGCCATTAAGTATTATAGAAACTGGTGTATTGAATCACCCTGTGTTCTAAATGATTCGTTTTTACACTGTGGTCATTTTTTCTTTGAATGAACTGTGTAAAAACCAGTTGCTTCAAAATGCAGATTGCTTTGCTCTATCACTAATCTTTAAAATTGAAACACTCTGTTTCATGAGTGCCGCAGTGGACTGATCGTTAAGACACGGTTCCCATCTGATCACCGAAGTCAAGCATCACTGACTGCGGTCAGTGTGCGGGTGGGTGACCACTTGGATTAGTCTGCGTAGGGACCGAGGGTGTGCTGCATGGGTACTCGTTAAACTGTTCTACCGTAAAGTGCTCGACTTCGCGTGCAGGTCGTCGGGCTACCGAAGNCGTTTGGACTACTAAGGGATATTTATGGTAACCCATGCTGAGGCCTGTTCTTTCTAGGAGGTGTTGCGCCAATAGCCCATTGTGCAGCTCTAGTGCGACGTAAATGAACTACTACTACTGTTTCATGAATATAAGATTACATAAATAATAAATATTAGAAAATAAATATTAGAATAATATTTAATAAAACATCACTTTTTTCCAGTAAATACCCATCACAAAACTAACAGAAAAAAGTAACTTTAATTTCGGTTATCTTTCACGACCTTCCTGTGGAAATTTTAGCTCGTTGGTACTTTTGTTTGTTTGGCGGGATGCCGGCTATCCCAGGATTTTGGTTTGTTTCTACTTTTTAGAGTCCGTCGAGTAGATCTTCTCATTTTGAATCAATATTAACTATTAGAAACAAGTCGTGGTGGCCCAAGGGAGTTGGTAAATTGCCTCCTCAATCTCAGGTATGGCTGTGGCCGATACGCACTCCGGCTCATAGTGAAACATCCTCAGTAGAAGACGGATCATGGGTTAGAGTCCCCTGACCTCCGAGCTAACCGTGGTAGGTTTTATTTCATATAACGCAAAATGCAGATTAGTTCCATCAAAAAGTCTTCCACGAATTCAACAAAACTTGATCCAGGAGTTCCCTTGTCTTCTGGATTGGGTTCGAAATTACAAGGCTACGTAGATGAACAATTGGTAATCGTAAACTAAAAATTGAGTAGGTTGTTCAACTACGATAATAAAATAAAATTGTTATTAAAAGTGACTCACTTAGTATTTTCTGTTACTATGATGATCGGAATCAGTACAAATTCAGAGACCTCCTCAGACACAAAAGCTTTAAATAAAGTGATTTTTTTTTCCTCACTCATTAGCTTAGAAGAAAGAAAATTCATGTATCCGATAAAAAAAAAATTCAATTCAACTCTTCCTAACTTTTTCAGTTATTTATAATTAAAAGAAAATGATACATTTTGCTTATTATTATCATTTTAACATTCACATTTTGAATGAAAATCCGTTAGACTGAAATAATGAAGTACGTCATAAAGTAACTTGAATCGAACTTCTTAAAATATTTCACAGCTATTAAAAACTCCAACCGACGAAAACGAGTCCAATTATATTTTCATAATGCGAGTCCCTTTGTCAAAACAGAAGGAATCTTAATGATAAAATGGTATGACATATGTTGTCCAATAGGATTGGATCCAGCGGTTCCCAATTTTTTAGGACACCGCAAACATGTAAATAAAATTTATTAGACGAAAGTCTGCCAATTATGTGAAAAATCCTCTCTTCTAATAATAGGTTTTATGTCAAATAGTTTAAATCTCAGGCCTGGAATGATATCTATAGTCTAGTTCTGAATTTGCTTTTGGTCCATATATTATGAATAAAATAATGCTGAATTAAGGTTTTCGAAAAAAAGAACTCTTATAAACATTGGGAATCAGAGGAGCATAATTCGTTATTCTCGAATTGGGTTGTTTTTATTTCGAATTGAAAAGTTCGACAAGAAATACTGATGCATTTCTTTTTTTAAATAAATTTTATCATTTCTTTTCTGACATTTGACTTAAATAATTTCATTAAAGTAACAAAACTGTCAAAGAAAATAGGGTTCATAGTTTTGATATAAATATAATTACGAGTTTCAAAAATCATTACTGATTTTAAAAATTTTTTTAAATTCTCGGAACCCTTTGGATTCCGCGAAACACCGTTTGGAAACCGCTGATAACTTCGTAGCTGCTTTTTAGTTTCGACAGTTTTTTTACCGATGGTTTGCCCATCATCAGAAATAATATAAAAATAACTTACCCAAATTGGATTATCCTTCACATAATTCACTTCGTATGAACGAGAACTAAAATAAAAATTATTTTTAGTACAATTAAAGAGATATATTATTTAGCAAAGAAATTGTGATTGTGAAAAAAATAACACAACTTTATAAGAAAGTCGAGAATGAGTCGCTTGATATTAAAAGGGCATCTATAAAATAAAAAAATGCTTGCTCTCACAGAGCAACTGGGTGTTCTGTTATGACTATCCTTAATGTATATTTTTTTAGAATCTTTATCAGAAACGATGTAAAATAACGTTTAAAGTCACATAGAAATTTTTAAGCAGAGAAAAATAATAACGTTATCGAAATCAAATTACTCTTTATAGAAGAAAGCGGGTCTGAAAATATGAAAAGTTTGATTTGGCGTCAGGCAATCCAATTAGCTCTGATGCTTTCAGTTCCACCTTCCTCATTTGATTCGATAGATTTTGATAGCGTTTTTGTTTATTTCTCGCTTGAATATAATGACCCCTAATGTACCATGCTTAAACTGAGAAAGAACAAACACTCTAAATAACTTATGATCTAACGAAGGGATATTCACATACTAGGATTTAATCTTGAAGGTTCGAAGGCTGAACTAGAAATGTCCCAATTAATTAGTGATGATATTTTAAGCTACGAAGTCTGACAACAAAAAGTGTGCCTTCTTTAAAGAAAAATAAACATCCTTTTTTTCCCGACGGATTTGGATTCCTGACCTTTAAAATAGTAAGGGTAGTCATTATCTGAAAAATTTGAACCTGATATTTCAGCCGAACAGCAGTTTGTTGTCCCTTAATGTTAATTTCACTTTTTGAGTATTTCGCTCTATCTTGGAAACTTTTTAAGCAGAATAAATTTTTTTGCATAGAATTATAAAATTTGTTTGTCCAAAAATAATTCCTTGTAAAAAATAATTTTTAATCATTATTTTATTTAATAATAGTCGGAAGCAAATGACTAATGACAAATTTTACATCAGTTTAAATTATGTAATTTTAAATGACAAAACACAAATATTGAAAGAAATTCGTCGAATGGGAGTTTTAAAAATACGACTTTCTAAAAATTGGATAACTCAGAAACTTTTCGATCCAATCTTGTATTTTGTCATTAAAAATTAAATGCTTTAAAAGGATGTAAAAATTTGTGATTCAAAAATGTTTCGACTATTATTTAATAAAACAGTAAATAATTATTAAACATTTTTTCAAACAATTCAACGAATGTTATAATTGTATGCAGAATTTTTTTTAATTCGCTTACACATGTTCTCGAGGCATAACGAATCATGTAAAAAGTTTAATTGTGCCAAAATTTATAAGTTTTGTTTTTTGTGTTGAAAATATAAATGACGAGTCAGTTTATACTTCACAATAAAATCTGCAATAAGATGCATAAAAAAAAGATAATTATCTTAAAAAACAAAAATTAGAATGAATCACGTTCTAAATTGTTCTTAATGACTTTTGTTACTTATTAATGACAGTTAGGCAAACTTCCTCTTTGTTTCAGAAAAATATCTTATTGTAAAAAATGCGCATCATTTAAAGTTTGTGCAAAATATTCTTCGCCACGGTGATGATGAACTAAAACTAAAATTTTTAAGCAAATTGAATTTTCATAAAATTTTTATTGTACTGAAGATGTTCTAATATGACTCATTAAATATCTTAAGTTATTTCTATGTAGTGGTGGATCAAGTTCTTTTATTTCTAATTCCTTAAAATACTTATACATAAAGTCTGTTACCACTAGAATATATATTATCTGAAATTCCTTGGTAGTTGGATGGTGTGAAAATAGTGTTAAACATGAATTGAAAATGTTAAAGATTTCAGAAGTGTAAAAAATGCTTACAAACATGGGTTGTTGCAAGTTTCGGAGCAATTGCTCTCGATGCCAAACGGGATTCTTTCATTTTCTGAAAATAAACTAGTTTTAAATACTAGAAAAATAATTGCGATTTCACATTCTTATCAATAAATTTTAAAATTTGCAGAGGTTTTAGGAACCGGCAATAAATTACGACCGAAAAAGAAAGCTTTTGAACACCCTATGTCTGAAAATAAAGCCATGAGCTTGTAACTTGTATCGAATACTTAGGTTTTCATAGGCAATAACATCGGAAAATTTTGTAAATTTAGCTTAAATGTAAACATTTTTATGTACAATTTTTTTTTCCTTACGTTTTCTGTAAAAATACTCAGTAAAATTTTTAGAATTAATTGCGAAATATTTTAAAATTTGAAAAGAAATCGTTAAGAATTGCGCACGATAGTTCTTTCCTACTTCGCATGTGCGAAAAATATTTAAAATTTTTCATAATTTTGTTGCGAATCGTACCTGAGCAATACATTTTTAAGGAAAGCTCTGAATAAGGATTTTTGCACAAATATCACTTCGTATCATAAATCAAATTTTAATAACAAATAATGGCACAATAAGTTTTATAGCACAAAATAACATTCACGGAAAACCCCTTACCATTCAAGGACTGTTTTCAAATTTTACGAAAACTACTTAGAAAATTGCAAGAAGTTTTTTTTAAATTTTCCAGATATTCAAATTGGTCTTTTTTTTCGTAAGTTACTATTTACGATTTAAACCAAAGTAAATAATAAAATATTACTATATATTTTTATTTTAAAATATGTAGTAAATATTAAAATATTTTATTAATTAATTATAAAAGTAAATATTTTCCACGCACGCATAGCAGGTAAGGACTATTTTAAATGTGCAATGTTTAGCGAATATTTTTCAAATGATATTAATTATATTGTTAAATATCGAAATTAATCTATATTGTAAAATACAGGTATTTTTTGACAATGCATCGAGATAATAAAATTCTGCACTCGTCAGTTAAAGGGACTAATATATATATATATTTTTTTTTTGTCAACAATGCGGAAAAGCTGTCATGAACACAAATGATCTCCATAATTGATACGTACCTATGAATATTTTCAATCTATGTGTATAGTTTTACACGGTAGACAAAAAAAAATCCTCATTTCTTTTTCACGTTGTCAACAAAAAATTGGAATATCAATCGAGTGAGCAATCATAAACGTGAACGCATTGTTTTGCATTTTTGTTTTGATTATGCTTCTGAATTATGGCAATAATAATTTAGAGCTATGTTTTAATTTTAACACAGAACTTTTCCATGGAGGTGGTCTTGCGTTAAGCGTAAGTATTAATATATTTAAAAAAAAATTCTAATATTTTGTAAATTTTTACAAAATTATTTAAATTTTGACATCACTTAATCCCTCTCTTTGCTATTTTTGACATTAACTCAAGAGCGAGCTTATGTAATAAATAACTCATCTCGAGTAAGATAAATAAATTTTCCTTCAACAATGGATACATAGTCAANTTTTTGTAATTTCCGGTAAGTTGGACAGCTGTCATCTGTTACTAAAATAGCTATAACTAAAGTTCTGCTTGACGTGCACTCAAAAACAAAACAGTTTTTAAAACTAGAAAAATTGGGCATTATTATAAAGCAATAAAATAAAAAAGTGATTTTTTGTGAAAATCCTCTTTTTTAAGGTAGTCGGATACCTTAAAGCAAAAATATTTATAAAATTAATTTTAATTAAAATTGTTTGAAAGTTGCTGCAACTTAAATAATAAAATTTACAATAACTAATAAAGTTTGCAATTTGAAATAATTAAATTATTGCATAAATTAAGTTTGCAATCAACGAATTGGAAAGACATCAGCCTTAGTTGCATGTTATTTCGAATCTATGTATAAACATTATTTTGTCTTAAAATATATGCTTACCATCTTCACAGAGTCGTTCGTTGTGTGAAAAAGTGACGCTATATGGGATGCATTGATTGCGTTTCAGTAAGTATTGAATGATGCAGTAATCGGTGCACTCCTAAAAATAAATGAAACAAACATGAAATATGCAGTCATCGATACAATTGAAATATATGGGTTAAAATTGTTAAAAAAAAATCTATAGATATATGAGAACCGTGCAAAAATTTTATTTTTTGTGGCAAATCCTTTATCAAAAGTACTATGCATCTCTCCGCCATAATGTGTTACATACTTTAAAATTTATGACATTTTTGGGGTAAAGATCTCTAGAGCATAACGATGAAATTTATTTCAATATTTATGGAAAAATTTTACTGGAACTTAACTTCTAAAAATATTTGAAACTTTTGTTAGCGTTTTAACAAAGTTAAATACTTATGGTAACTAAAATATTAAAAATGAGCACCTTTGATTGCATACACTGTCAATATGTACAGGGCATATGAAATAAAATTTTCAAAACTGAGTTTAAAAAGTTTATACAAAATTTAAAAATAACAGATATTGACATGTTCCATAAACTTGCAATGGATTGCCATTATGTGGGGCCGATGAAAGGAAAAATTCGGCAAAAAGTCGATGCTATGAATGGCAGCCATCGTTTCGAGATGAGTAACGTTAGTTTTGTGAGAGGGGGAGATTTCCGTATCGTGATCTGTGGCAACTTTCGGGCAGCGACGAACTAATAAATACATCACAGAAAAGAACCCATTCGAAAGGTTTAACACGTAGCCACCCCCGAGCAAATATCTACATGTTTTTTCTTTTTAAAAAAATTGCCAGTTTAAAATCTATTTGGGATCTTGGCGATTGTAGTTGGCCGCGATAGTTCCCCTGATAGGAAGAAGGAGGCTATTGTATATACATTATCAAAACCTATAGAGCTCTTTAAAGGAGAAAGGAATGGTTGGAAATGGTAGCTATCGGTAGGAAAGAACCCTACAGAAATATATGGTTCTTGAATTTGACAACAGTATGATATGGTTATCAGACTGAATGAAGACACCTCATTAAGGTTGCGGCAAATTTTAACGATATTTGCTTAAGGTGACGATATTATGGCTCAAAGTTGAACCAATTTGTCTGAGAACATATTTAATTGAAAAAGCTCGTAGTAAATAAAATAAATTTCAAGGTAGTAAATATTAATAATAAAGACTTACTGATACAGACTATAGCGATAAATTTGGACTTACCTGGGCCGTGAGAGGACCATGTCCTCCGTTTTCCTTCCACGTTTTTAGGTAATCAGTACAATTTGTATCATAAGGCGGAGGCATCAATCGGTTCTCAGTCTGTAAAATGAATAACATTCTTAATTGAACTCTGAAGCCAGCTTCATAAAACTTAAATTCTTTGTTTCAAATCAATTTTAAGGCACATCCGTCTGCACGACGAAAATGCGCCATTTCACAGTCAGCAATGATGTCATTTTACGGACATCACCTGCAACCAAATGACTGCGGAATGGGCTATCAGTACTTGACCAAAAAGCCAACCTCCAAAACTCATGCAATTTCTGTAGCCTAAAAATCCTAAACTAACTTGCATTAAGTTAATAGGATGCATCAGTCCTTACTCTTCGAAACTCCAATTTTCCAAAACTATCAATGTGTCTCTATAAGGGTCGCCAAGCCTCCAAAATTATCCCCAAGACGACAAAAATGTCGCTAAGTCAAGTTTTTCTTAAGAAATACATGAGATATTATCTCCAAATGACGTAAAATTACGCGAATTTCGTGCAAATTTTCTAGTTAAACTGTTTATTTAGGGTTCGTCTGAGACATTTAGCTTCATATAAAAAAGGAATATTTACAAAATTAGACACATACTTATAATTTTGTAACAATGCAAAACAGCTCATCATTACAGGGTTCTCATGTGGAACAATTGAGGAAGTTCTAATCTTTGCATTCATTGTAGCCAGTTACCAACTTCTACGGATTCTTTGTAGTAAGAACTGTTTTAATGGTGAAAATTCCTCTTTTTAATAAAGTTTCAATTATAAATCACCAGCTTCAAATGACGAATATACTTATCAAGCAATTCAAATTTTTCATATAATCTTACCTGAGGTTAAAGGCACATATGTTTATGAATCATTTGTTGGTTGAATACAGTGATATGCCGACTCTCCGGAATTTACCATAAAAAATTTTTACATTTAATGTGGTAGCAAAATTTTTGTATTCATGCTTCATTCCTGTTTTAATAAATTTGATTTAATATACTTTTAACTACATTTTTAAACATACACAAAGAGGACCAGCTATGTTTGGTAAGTGATCTAAGTGCCTGCCTACAATATCACTTCAATAATTATTTCACTACCACTGGAAATAAAGGTTTTTGGAAGAGCGTAAACGTTTGAATACCCAAATGGGTCGCGGGACAATGAATTGGTAACTTGAGTGTTATGAACGACTCAGAAACGATAGTGGTATTACCAGGACGACTGGGTCATCACTGTAACAGAGTCACAGACAAGGTAGTTGCCGGACTATATCTATCGCTTATATAACCTTTCCTTTGTCATTTTTCTTTTCAATCTCGTGTAAATAGTTGGATATATTTTCTCGATTATTTTCTATTTTATGACATCTGCGTAAATACTAATATTACTTCATTTTAATCTCAATTATGCGTAATTTCATCATACGACTCATGACTTACTTCCCACATGACACTCTCCCACTTCCCGATGTCCGATTCTTGATAGCTCTCAACCCTGAACACACATTACTCATTAATTGTGGTGATTCTCGAGTAGTTAAAAAAGTGATAATCCATTTTGCAACGGAATAAATATCTATGGCGGTTGTAATCCGAAGTTTCAATGTAGCGATATTTGTGCTCATATCGTTACATGGGTAAGTTTCTAAACCAATAGGTATTCATCGTGGATTGCTTTATAACGCGATTGAAATTGTTTCTAAAATTATGATTACTCGAAATACCGACTACAATTGTAATTCAAGCGATGATCCTCATTGCATTTTAAGACAGTATATCCCGAAATGTTTTCTCGTCATTTTAACACGGGTATTATCATCTCGCTGCAAGTATTATTTTGATAGGCTGACATACCACGTCAGTTATTTGTGCTATGTACTTGGTTCCAGCTATGAGTCTGTATCCCCTGAAAAAGGGATTTTCTTCCTTCTTTCTGTCGTGAATAGACACGTAGATTGACGGAGTGACTGCGTAATCAGAATACTCATCGGGTTCTACTTGAATTTCTATCACCGTAGCTGTAAAAATAGAAACAGTCTCTGTGATAAACAAGTAAAGCAAAATGTATAAACACTGAGGAAAAAAAAAAATTTTTTTTCGAAGAAAACGAAACAAAATAATTAAAACTAAATTTTTTATTTTATTGATCTTTAGAGACCGATAGTATATGTTATTTTAGTATTGGCTTTAAACAGCCAACCCAATCTCAATGATCTATAGAAATTTATGAAGTGGTATCGAATTTACTTTTGAATCTAACATAATGTTTCAGTTTTTACTATTCCGACTCAAGGCGTATTAGAAATTTACATAACATTTTCCCTGTCATTCTTCGGCTCGTCAAATTCGTGACAGGATCTTCAAATAAAGTAGTACTATGTGAAGCTATAGCGGTGAATTTATCTGAGCAAAGTTTGATCAGTTATGCCTCATTTCTCCAAAAAAAAAAATTAATAATAATAAATCAGTTTTTAAATATGGAGGGGGGAAATGAACCTTTAGAATACAGCAAGCCAGACAATCCTACTCTTTTTGGAAATCTTTGTAAATTGAAGAAAATATAATGAAAATATCACACACAGAAACGTTGGATGTTTGGTTGAATAGGGTGTGGGGGGTGGGTCTTGAAGCGCAACTATTTTTCAATTCCTACTATTACTTCTCACTCTCCCTATAGTATATTTATATACAGTCGACTCGTGTTATAACGACCCTGTGATAGAACGACCAACATGATATAACGACCCTGTGAAGGAGTCCCAATTCACATCCATAAAAGATAACGTTATTTTACTCTTGCTATAACGACCGTAAAAAAGGTCAACTCCTAATATAACGACCCTCTCTGAATTTGAACACCGCTCTTTTCTAACTTCCTATTGGAAAGTGGGGTTGAATGGTTGACCTTGAACAAGCACACATATGTTAAGTCCTCTTAACATGTAACTTCAACAAATTAATGCACATCAAAAAATTAATGTCTTCGTCTAATGAAGCCTCGTTTATGTTCCTCGGTTTACTCTTCTTTATAATACTGCAGATTATGTACAAAAAAAAAAATTCGTTATATATACCGCAAATTATGTACATCAAAAAATTAATTCATTAGAAACTAGATTTTTTTTTGTCATACTATGTTTTTTAATCTGTACTTTAAAATAAAATTCTTAATTGTTAACAGTTGTAATTCAATTGTTAAAATGTCATTATGTTTTATTAATGTATGCATCCTATCCTTTTTTGGTTTATAACATGTATACCACAAATAGTATATGCATGCATTATGACGTTTAAAACCATTATGTGACCGATTTTCAAAGGAAATTTGTTCATTTTGATATAGCGACCATTTGATATAACGACCAGATTGGGGCAGTCCCGATGGGGTCGTTATAACGCGAGTCAACTGTATTTTGTTTAAATTTTCAATCGTTCGTAAAATACTTTTTATTCATCCACTCAAATACATTTTTTTAAACTTGCATGACGCATGATGTTAATACAGTTTTTTGCGAATATAAATTCATTCATTAAATGTAATTAATTAGTTTTAGGGGGGAGAAAAAAATTTCTCTTATATACGATATTTAGCAGGATATAAATTTAGGAATAAATACCGTCAGTGGCGAAGCGCTGTAGATCGTTGGAAAAAATGAATTTATTTAATTTAATTAATCTATTAATATTTGAAAAAACTGTATATACATATTTATATTAATTGTAATTATTCAATAAAAAGTAACTAAAGTAAAAATTTTTATCTGTTGACCTAAGTAGGAATTGAATTAAAAAAAAAAAAATTATGTATTACTTGGTACACGGTGAATTTATTTTTAGATCGTTTCGTTCTAACAAAACAAGCGAAGAGCTGTACAGTAAAAGTTACAAAAATAAACTTCTGTTTATTTATTAATTTTTTTCTAAAACGCTACGCAATTACAAAAGTTAAATTTTTGATTAGAGTTGAAATCTTTTAGGATATTCAAACCATCAAAAAAGTATATCAGACTAAATTCTTTCTAAAGTTTTAGACAAAAGAAAAAATAAATAATAATGTTTATTTTTTTCCATTTTACCTTTGTTCCGCATAATTTACTTGTTTAAACAGCAGAAAAACATGTTCATTGCTGTGTAGGCTAGTCATTTTAACTCGTTGTAAACATGCAATTTTTTATATCTTCAATATTAGCGTGTTGATAAAGACATGTCGTCATAGCGGTTAAACTCGTTATATTGAGCTTCTACAGTAGATTTTTTTATTTTTATGTATAAGCCATTTTTTGCGGCTGGACATTAATTGGGAAAACGGAAATATTTTTATTGAATGCCGGGCGGGCATTTCATACGGAGCAAGCACTTACACTCAGTTCTTCCCATTTGCACGGACTTCTCATCAGGCTTACCTACCGCTGAGTTAATCGTGTAGCAAAAGGTAGCTCCATAATCTTGATTCAAATTCGATATAGTTGGAACTTCATGGTAAGGCTCTCTAAAAATAAAAAAAGATTGTAAGATTCGTGTCAACAAAGTTCATTCCAGAAATGCGGAATTTGATCCCAAAAATTTAATTAAATGAAATGAATGAAAAATTGTAATTTTTTAATGCGAGGATTTCAATGAAGAATCGACACAGTTTTAATCTCAAGATTCGAATCAGGTGTTGGCAAATATTGTAAAAATAGAGTTGAAATTTCCATCCAAATATTCGAACCTGAGATAGACACGGTTTGCTTGTACCAGAGCTGTGAAGTTGGAATGTTATGAGGGCCAAAGGATTCGAATCAGAAATAGGAATGGTGATATGAAGTTGAAGTTCTAATCGCAAGATTTGAATGAAAAATAAAAATAATGAACTTGCAATGCAAAAAAATACAGAAGAACTTACATAATTTTCTAACTTTTATCATACATTACGTAAAGAATTCTCCATGCAATTCGATAAGTTTATCTTTTCCTTAGAAAAATAGAGTCCTGAGAGCGAAACACATTTAATATTTAAAAAATTCCAGCATATCTTTTGCAACATTTTTATTTCTGTGGGAGAAGTTTCCTGGTGGCAATGAATCAAAGAGTTGAACTTATTCTAACAACTGAGCACTTTTGATCTTTTTTCCGATTCATCTTGAGACATTGTGGTGAAAAGCATTTCTGCAATCGGATTACCATTAGACTGATTATTTTGCATTTTACACATACTATTTAAATTATTTATAATTCATGGTGGTCTGTTTTTTTTCTCCGGACAAAACTTAAAATAAAGAATTACTAATTAAAGCATAACCGCAAGAGAAAACTTCTGTATTTATGGTCAAAACCAAGTAGAGAAATCAGAACATGAATATCACTGACGGAGATTAATAAAAACTTACTTGCAAGGCTGATCCCCGGAATCTAAACGCTGCACGCAGGAAATAATGATGCTTGTACTGTGTCCCAACTCCTTTGCTATCTTCCATATGTTTCTGCTCTTCAACGCTTTCTCGCCCACCCGGGGCTTACAAATCTACAACAACAATAATGAAGTGCCTTTAAGTACGTCGTTTAGAGGAAGATGAATTGTATACAACTATGGCTAAATATACTTATCTTGACGCAAAAACACTTTTCCTGGAGCACTCTTTCTTAGCTCCTTTTTTTCCCTCTCCTGAGCCACCCTCATCATTTCTTTGCATTCATCTTTAATTTTCATTGTGAAACCGAAAATTCATAGATAAATGCAATTTATTCCCACGAAGACTCGAAATCAACTTCTTCTTCTTCTTTTTCTTTTCTTCTTTTTTTTTGTAATTTAGAAAGTAAATATTGATAAAGAAATAAACTCTCATTCGAGGAGTGTTATTGAGGAAAATTGAAGAGCCATCGTGATAAAATAATAATAATATGTCATATTCTTTATGTCACTTTGAATTCGGCTCTGAAGACAAGTATTAAGATTCTCAGTGACTTGTCGGAGAAAAGTTTTGGGCAGTTAAGCAGTATCTTTCCGTTACAAGCAGGAGCAAACCCTAAACATTTTCTCACCTTTTCTGACGACAACAGGACTCAAACTTTCGATTTAACGACCATTGAGAAAAGTTTTTGTACGCCGTATGGTTTTATGCTAACTAAACCTTTTTCATTTTTAGGTGCACATACTTCTGTCACATTTTGTTAAGTACGAATGCAATTATTTGCTATTCTCAAGAAAAGAGTAGTGAAGAGGTAACTAGTCGGTTAGTGTGAACAATAATATTATAATATAAAATAAAAAGATATAATATAAAAAGATAATTATTTTTTTAAAAATTACGTCTGGTATTTTTGATTAAGCTTTTTTTTTATGTTGAAGGAAGGCCTAAGATAATCAGGGTAGTCACATTCTGATAAAATTTTTATAAAGTGTTAGAAAAAAATCGATTCTATAAAGTGACTGCGACGAGATTCGACAATGTTTGAACAAACTGAGCAAGCCCGCTCCCCACCAGGTCCAAAAATATAAATGATTTATGAACAAAATCCAATTATGACTTATAGATCTGTTACTCGACAGTTATTTAACTAACAAAATATTAAGGTAAATGATGAAAAATCAAATAAAAGGAAAACATATGCGAGAGACCCTACTAGGGTCCATTTTTCTCCCTATTGACTGTGCTGATTTTCCCAAGCTCGTAGAAAATAACAACATGATATCAACCATTTATGCTGACATCACAGCCATCCTAAGTAGATCCCAAATATAGCTGTTAGGACAATCAAAAACATCATTCCCACTGTAGAATATGGGTAAGCAAAATTGAATCCTTTCCCGAATCCGCGTTATGAATTATAAGAATTTTTTAGAGAAGAAAAATCTTAACATAACCTTATTTGGAATGGCCATCCCGCCGATTGCTGAGAAAGCCATGTCACTGGGTGTAACGCTTACAAATATATTAAATTGGAACTCACATATCTCCAGAATTCGCGCTTTTCAGTCGACCGAATCGGGCGCTTTTCAGTCGACCCATCAAGACTGGCCCTGAGACAGCCACCCACACATAAGAGAAGACTCAAAATAAAATTTTACGTAGAATCACCGGGACAATGTCGTTCATACATACGAATGATTTTTTTTAAAAAAAAGTACTTACACATTGAGTAATCAATGAGCACATTTCAAGCATTTTCAAACATGTAAAAAATTGCGAAACATGCAATTATAAAGATAAATTCGACTTTATCAAAGACAGCGTTTTCCATTTCAGACGGGGCTTTCTCACATAAATTTTGTAAATAATTATGTATATGTTACCGTTAAAGTATGAAATCCGTTATTTTATAGAATACCTAGTTATTCCATGAAATAACTGATCGCGTCCGTTAATGTGTAAAACTCTCTTGTATTTCATGGTTTAACTAGCTATTTCATAGAATAACTATCTGCAGCCCGTTAAAGTGTAAAATAGTGGTTCTTGTGGTGTTTACCGTCCGTATCCCAGTGCCTGAAGTTGACAGAGGAGAAGGTGATGCCAAATCTATTTTAGCTATCATCATAAAAATAACGGAAGAAGGATTTTTCCAATTGGGCACAAGAAATGGCTACATAAAACAATTATATTCCCGATCCCAGTTCAGTGTCTGCGAACAAAAATGAATTAAAATCGAAGAAGTACAGGATGTAGTTGGTACAGGTGAGTCTGCAAGTTGTAAGCTATTAACTAAAACCAAAGTTGAAGAAAAAATGTCATAAAAAAACCTAAATGTCATCATTTAAGTGAGAGATCGGTGCAGATTAGGAGGCAACGTTCATGGCCCCTCTACAAGCTTCTCCGTAAGGACAGATGGCGAAAGTTCATTATAACTGATGAAACTTGGATCTATCTATCTGATACCAATGCTAAATCTAAAGTTCAATATCTTAGCCGTGGGCAGAACAGGCGAGACTTGACACTATCAACCACGTTGCCTAATCCAAGGGTTTAGATGGTCATATCCGCCCATGGTGTGATCAAACCTCGGTTTATGAAACCTGGGACCAAAATAAATTCTGAGTATTACATACAGAAGATATTAAACCCCTTTCTTAAGGATGATTACTGCAGATTGTACCCTAATGGTGATGCTGTGTTCCATCAGGACTCTGCCCCATTGCATGCATCTAAGGTCACCCAGAAATTCCTAACAGATCAACAATGCAATTCCTGACCAGAACAATGGATTCCAAACAGTCCTGATGCTGCACCATGCGACTATTTCCTATGGGGACATCTGAAAAACAAACTGAAAAAGCGAAGAATTTCTACATTGAGAGGCCTTCAAAGAGCTATTAGAGAAGAGGTGAAGAAAATCCTCCAGGAAATCATTTTGCGGGTTTAAAATCATGGTCGAAGCGTTGTAGACAAATCTATTATGCCGGAGATCGACATATTGAGAAGCATCGCTGAATTTATGTAATAAATTTTGGAAATAAAAACATTCAAAAATGATCCCTACATTTTTTTGTTACCCTGTAACTAAGTATTTACGTAAAAAAGTAAAAATTAATCTTTATATTTATTCGAATCGGTATTTAAATTATATTATTTATAGAATTAGTATTTAAAATGGACTTTTTTTTAATACCTATATGAAAGATTTAACTATAGGAAACTTATCTTTTCTTAAGATTTAGTTGGGGCTTAATGGATCTAAATTTTATTTGAGTGCACTACTCTAATATGTACAGTGCGTGACCACCCTGAATAACTTTTGATGGAAACTTGTAAGACTCAATCTTAATGGGGGGTGACCTCAAAAATGCCAATAAATTATTACAGACGATATTTTAAATTATGAAATCAAATTACTTTCTCTGAATAAACACACCTTTTTTTCAGGTAGATTCAGATTTCTGACTCCCCAAAATATAGGGAATGGCCGCAATCTGAGAAATAGTGTTCCAATAATAGGGTAGAGACAGTAGTCCTTTGGGACCTTTTAATAATTTTATTTTTTGCTCATCTCAGCATATCTCCAGAACTTTTTGAGCGAATTTAAAATTTTTTGCACACAATTATAGTTTTCGAGAAATCAAATTTTAAATGCATGACTTTTTTAAGCTCGATTTCTCAGAAACCATTCGACAAATTTCTATCAAATTTTGTGTTTCGCCATGTAAAATTACATTCTTTAAAATGATGTCGAAAAATTGTATACCTTGCAATTCATTTTCTTTTTACTGTTATTAACCTTTTCGTGACTGGTAAGCCATGAATGTATTCGTACGGAATCAGAATGGAAAAAGAAAAGAAAAAGTGGTTGCTTAAGTTTGGCATGGCTCCTTTTTTATAATTTTAATTTTTTTTCTTCTTCTTTTTTTTCTTTTGCTTTCACTTTAATTATAACATATCTAATGAATGATAATTCAAAGTGTAACTATATAATTTTTATTTTGAATTAAATAGGGATATAAAGTAAAAATCAAACTATTATTCCCCCCCCCCAAATGAACTGATATAGAAATATTTTGCCAACCAGTTTTATTTTTTTCCAACTGAATTACCGCTACTCTGAGAATGCATATATGACTCGCTCATCTCGAAGAGGTTAAATAACATAATAAAAAAATAATAAATGTATACTAAAAGATATTTTTTGCATATCTTTGCATAAACGAATTTTATAATTGTGTGCAAAAGCTTTTCAACTCATTTGATAAGTTCTCGAGATATGGCAAAATGCTCAAAAATTAAAATTAACAACTCTTAATTTAATTCATCGGTATAGTTTGACANATATAATATTCTAATACCAAAAAAAGTACTTGCGTGACGTGAAAATATCTTTTGTGATGTAACTCTTTCAAAAGTACATAAAAATGGTTGCCATCAGGGGTGTACATGCAGATTTGTTAAATACACCTTGTCCACCACCTAGGAGCCAAATCTAGAACCCGACACTCGAAATTTTTGCTCTGTTACAATCGTACCCTGTTACAATTGACCCCACTCTCCCCTATACATATCGTATGAAAATTATTTATATGTTATTATAAAAGTATTATACTATGATTCGCATATTTATATGCGAAATAAGTCTTACCAGACTTTCAATACTGGCAATAACGTGAATTTACTTAAACCATTAAAATTTTCCTTTTTTTAAACCTTTAAATGAATCCTATCTTTAGTTACTTACTTGTAAAATTTAAAAAACATCCAATTTTCAGAGAATTTCCAGAAATAAAAACTGGTAGATAGCTATATATTATTCATTTGAGATTTTTTCTCTTTAGGTAGTATGTTTCTTTCCTTATTCATTAATTTTTTTAAAAATATTTTTATAAACGGCTCCGTTACTAACCTAAATATAAATTCATTAAAACAATCAATATATACGGAATAACTTCTTAGGGATCTGTTTTCACGAATCGAAGATGAGAAAAAAGGATTTAAAAAAAAGGTAGCAAATATCTTTCTAGCAATAAATCTTTTATTAATTCTTAATTTCTTTTAAAATTTAAACTTTGAAATACTTGAAATTTAAAAATACTTACAGCCATAACATTTAAAATATCGTAATGATTCCAGTCGGGCCTATTTCATTAAATGAAACTATTTAAAAATATTAATTTAATACTGAATGTCGGACATTTCTGCGAATTGAAATAAAATCCTATTTCAGACTGTAGAGCAACATAAGAAAAACACTCATATAATGCATAAAAAAGAAATATATTTTGCACATACCTGTGGGTAGGGTCTGCCTTGATCGGGACAAAAATGATCATATTTCTGACAGAACTCCGTTTCATTTTCAAAATCAGTTGTTTCCATCCACGGTTCTTTGCAGTACGCACTTCGTCGATAGCTAAGAACAATACTTACTGTTTACTTTTGCCTTCACAAACATAAATACGCGAAATTTATGTTTGGAAAATTTTATATGCATGAAATACTTATTGTAACATGGGCGGGGTAGTCTGGTTTGTGAGAACGGGTTCTCGAATCAAGCCGGCCGAAGACTCCCCGTGTAGTAAATGGTGACTAGTGCACGTTATATCTGTAGGGTCACAAAATCCTCCATGTTTCCATAACAAATCGATACCTCTGGGGGTACTGGATTGGAGACGGATCGTCCTCTGGTTCGGGTCAAAATGACGATCTGTGGATGAATGTATGAATGGTTTCGCCCTATAAACGGGTGTGGCGTATGGCTGTGATAGTAATTGAATTCTTGGCCATAGACGGCACTACTGGAAAACAAGAACAATCACACCCCCTCGCCTTAATATCCAACGACAGCAACAACTTATTGTTACATGGTTCTTGATTAAAAACTTCCAGGCTACAAAAATATTAAGAGGGGTGCCGACCTATTTCAAGGACACAAAAATAGGTGCCCATTTTCACGACTTGCCAGGCGTGAATGAGGAAATCAAAAATGATTTGAAGCATAAAATGTCAAAGAAAAATTAAAAAATAACGATGTAAAACAAAACTGGAAGACCGTGGTAGCCAAGGGTGAAACAGAAAAATGAAGATGAAAAACAAAATTAAAAAAACCGCTGTGACCGAGAGTTGCAAATCAGAGCAAAATGCATTTCCACGAGCTATGAAGGTCGGAGAGGAGCTCATATCGTTCATAAAGGAATCGGCATTTATATGAATGAAACAAGATTCCAGGGAATCAAGATATAGATCAGATGTGACAGGGGTTAAACTATTTTTATCACTGTCGAAATTGAATTTTTGTCCAAGATTCCAACAATGCAATGGATGACTCATCACATGCTTGATAATGAATATACTTTTATTTTAAAGCATGCCTGGTTTGTTAGATGTACCCAAGATATCGCTCTGGCAAAGCTGCTAATATTGCCAGTGAGACCTTTTTTAAAGCTGTCTTTAGGTTTCTAGACTTAAAAAAAGTATAAATATAAGCATCTCACCGGTTGGCGTTGCAAATTGTGATGGCTGGTTGCTCGACGTAAAATGGATTGAGGTAGAGCTCGTTCTTGAGAGTGGGATAGGTCATGTAGAACTCTGTGAAGTCTCTGGCCTGATAGATCAGACCGAATACACTGAAGAAGAAGACGGCCATCACAAACACCTTCTTTTTGAGGGACGTTGATTCGGCGACGTCAGCAAAACTGGCGATGTAAGATCGAGCGAACACCGTTTTCACGTATTCTTTGTATTCCTCGCTCTCCGTCAAGTTCTTCTTCATCTCCACTTCGTCATCTCGCTGCAAAAAAGTTTATTGTAATCATTCTTTCGGCAATAAAGATTGTTAATCAATTATACAGACTTGAAGAAATTATTTTGCAAGAGCAATTATATGAAATTTTGGACTGATAATTAAGTAAAAAAATTTTAATCTCTTATATAAAAAGCCATAATATTTTTAATGATCATATTATTATTTAAATGACTAAGCTTTAAATTTTTACTTTTTTTTTAACTCCGTATTTGAAAGTTCAACATAGAATTTTTATACAGAAGATTTAATAATGATTGTTAGCTTTGCTTAAATTTTCCTTATTATTGAAAACAAAGTTTTTAAAGTAATAATAAACAGCCCAATTCCATTCTGTTAACAAAATATTTTAACAAAAACTATTGAGAATATTAAGAAAATATTTTAGAATTTTATTAATTGATGTACAGTAAATGGGTCTAAATTTTGTGCCTTTTATCATTAAAACACCTAAGTTTTAAGTTTTCTATAATATTTAAACTATCCGCAATAATATGTTTATGCAACAAAATCAAAATATTTCTCTTCTTCACAGTCACATTCATTAATCGGATTGTATTAATTTTCCTTAAACTATTGCTTAATTAAATTAATGTCATTATTATTAAATATAGGTCTACGGGCTTTTTATTATATTAAAATTTTGAAATGGAAACAATTTTTTTTTAATTTTTAAAAATATTATGAAATTTGATCTTATCGAAAGTAGGGTTTTGAAAGTTAATAACGAAATACATATTATCTAAATTTTTCTTTTTATTTGGGGAAATTTTACTCATTTTGGCTTTTACAAGATCGAAACAAAGAATTTCGAAGTGTAAATGAATAAAAGAAAAGTAATAATAAGATCTTGACGCATCAATGCTAAGGGAGAAAACAAAATCTTTAATATTATAATGTTTATTAAAAATATTTTTTCATATTAGAAATAAAATTTAAATTTAGTTTGTCACTATAACGAGAGTTATTACTGTATAATATATTAAAATTTTTCACTGCATATTTTACTTCAAATAATTCTATAAAGGCAAGCAAAATATCAAATAAAGAGGATTATTGATTGGATTTAAATATAAATTGAATGTTTCAAAAACCATTATTGTTTTTTTTTTTTTAAAAAAGTCGTAATTCTTGGAATCCCATTTAACTGTTGCACCACGAGAACAGAATTTAATGACCGGATAGAATAAAACTGACTGTTCGTAAAAGTACTTTTATTTGCTAAAATTATCATAGATTTTCTTCCAATATACCTGCAGAAGAGGACAACTAAAAAAACGTACAATTCAGTGCTTTTACACGCCTTAAGTAAGCAAACAAATGTAGCGCTACTTAAAAATTGCATTTTTTATGTTTGTCCTATAATTTAATTTGATGGGATTACTTTACTGTTATTTTGTTTAATGCTTATGATGTCTCTACAAAGATGATTTATGTTTAAGTTGGAGTTTTTTTTATTCATAAATATTGTTCATGAAATGTCCTCATCATTCTGTTGGATTCATCACTGTCAAGCGACTCTGCTGTAAACAATTTGGATGAATTGAAGTTCAATTCCTGGGGGAGTTTTATGTTAATTTCGGTTTTTCTAGCAGTATTGTCAAAAATAACATTTAAATAGACTCAGAGTTTCGGTCTCAATTTAATGATTTGACGACCCACTTACTGGGTGCGCAAAGTGGGTCACCAAATCATAATTATTAAATTACGACAAAAGCATTTTTCCCCTCCTTTTAGGAACACAATTACCATTTAAAAAAAACTTTAAACGAACAAAAAATTAAGATAATTTATGTATATTAAATTGCCAGTTTAAATGCGCGCGAACAGCCAGTCCATACTGCTGAGGTGTTTCTGGCGGTGTAAGATGTGATTTCCGGTCACGGATTGCAGTACAATTTCGAATTCTTATGATGCTCTTTAACACCCCTTATTGCTGTGACTATTATATACTATATTATAGTTACTACATTTAAAGTTATATACCATATATACTATGATCTAACGGTTGTTGTTAAAGTTGTTACACCGTGTATTATTGTTTACAGTTCAAGTTATTAAAGGGACTATTGTCACTGCACGCGAAAAAATCGCGGATGCGTAAATGTGAACAAGAATTTAATTGGCGTGTTATATTTGACCAACAGGTATTTTCATTCGCAATAGCAAATTTTTCGCATGCAGTGAAAACGGTTTCTAATGCGTAAGAATATGCAAACAAACAAACAGTTATTTCCTCACTTTTCTCAATCTTCGAAACTGGGATCCTTTGAGGGCTTCAAACAGATTTCGACTCACTTCATTTGAGTCACTATCCATGGTTGTCATCTACTGAAACATAAACATCATTAAAAATTACGAAAAAGGAAATGGTAGCTTTGTCGAATGGATGGTGTTTTCTACACTGGGGAACACTGCCAGCTCCATACCGACTATACTTCCGGTATATTTTAAAGCCATTTGGCTCACAACATGATCATTGTGTTTTGAGATTCTTGCAAACGTGGTATTTGAATTTGAATTGTGTTTACTATGTTAACAATATTTGTGTTTACAATGTTAAAGGCGCTAACGTAAGATGAAGCACAGCTTGCAACAAGAACAAAAAGTGATAAACAAATGGAAAGAGGCCAAATCAGGACTGCTAAAAAAGCGAGTTACTCAAAATCTAGCACCTTTTTTAACAATATATCTATAAATAACTAAAACAAATTTTCACTTTCAAACTCACCAGAACTACTTAATAACATTAATATTTTATGAAATACGGCAGATTTCAGCTCAGAAATTATCTAATTTACTTCTTTTATTGAAAACAAAATTATTCGTTTGAAAATATCGCCTCGCAGAATAAGCTGTGGTAAGCAGTTGCAAACTTTTTAACCGGAACTAGAGCAGGTATTGAGCTCGAGATAGATATTGTTTACATTTATATTGAAAACACCATACATTGTGTATTTTTAAAAAAAATCAAAGAAGTGTGCAGAAAAATGATATAAAATAATCACTGAAAAACAGAAAAGAGATCTAAATATCTTGAACGGACTCATTAAATTGAAAAAGTTATAACTGTATTTGTCACTAAATAATTTATGTATTCCTCATTTAACGGTATTTAACAGTAATATTTATGAATCATACTTTTTATTATTATTCTCTATTAATATTACGGTTTTGTTATTATTCTAAATAAAATGCTTAAAATTAAAATTGTTGTTTCTTTATTATATGATAAATTATCTGCGTGATATTACATATTAGTATGCAACATTTTACGATAACGATGTGAAGTTATTTTACTATTATTAAACTCTTAATAATAAGCTACACTGGTGAAATGAATGAAAAGAATTTGCACATTTTATAGAATTTCATGAAAAGAATTGAACTGAATCTAAAACCACTGCTTCTAGACAAAAATGCAAATCTTGTACATAAAATACGTAAGCGTACGCGTGTAGAGGCTATATAAGTGCGCGTAAGTTAGCCAGTAGAGCCAGTAAAGGCTATATAAGTGCGCGTAAGCTAAGACGCATTTCGTTCTCTAGAACAGTGTTCCCCAATCCCCGGTCCGCGGACCGGTACCGATCCGTGGATCAAATGGTACCGGGCCGCCCATTTCATTGAAACTGAATTTATACCCCAAATTAAAAATATCTGTGTTCCATTAAAATTTTATTTATTTTTAAAAAAAGGGGGCCCCCGAAAGTAGTGACATAAATTTTTGTAATGTATCATTGTCTCCGATTATACCCCCAGATGGAACCGTCTCATTGCAAAGAAACAATCTTAGGGTTCTCCTTGATTTAATGTTCTAGTAAGTTAAAATGCTAAATCACGTTATATTTATTTTTTGGTGTAACTGTATTTTGTTTTGAAGACATGTTTAAATACAATTAAATTAGTCCAGCAGTAGACTGATCGTTAAGACACGGTTCCCAGCAGATCACTGAAATCAAGCATCACTGGCTNATGTAAAACCACTGCTTCTAGACAAAAATTCAAATCTTGTACATAAAATACGTAAGCGTACACGTGTGTGTATATGGAGCCAGTAGAGGCTATATAAGTGCGCGTAAGTTAAGACGCATTTCGCTCTCTAGAACAGTGTTCCCCAATCCGCGGACCGGTACCGATCCGTGGATCAAATGGTACCGGGCCGCCCATTTCATTGAAACTGAATTTATACCCCAAATTAAAAATATCTGTGTTCCATTAAAATTTTATTTATTTAAAAAAAAGGGGGGCCCCGAAAGTAGTGACATAAATTTTTGTAATGTATCATTGTCTCCGATTACCCCCAGATGGAACCGTCTCATTGCAAAGAAACAATCTTAGGGTTCTCATTGATTTAATGTTCTAGTAAGTTAAAATGCTAAATCACGTTATATTTATTTTTTGGTGTAACTGTATTTTGCTTTGAAGACATGTTTAAATACAATTAAATTAGTCCCGCACTAGACTGATCGTTAAGACACGGTTCCCAGCAGATCACCGAAGTCAAGCATCACTGGCTACGGTCAGTGTGCGGTGGGTGCGGAGGTGCCATCCCCTCCGCAGAGGATCAAAATTGTGATGGCATGTCTTCGGATCATCCTCCGGGATGTTTCCTAGACCGTCGCCAATAGCCCATTGTGCAGATCTAGTGCGACGTAAATTAACAACAACAACAATTAAATTAGAATTAATATGATGTAAATTAATATTAATATATGTAATTAAAATATTATGTATTAATATTAATATATGTAATTAAAATATTTTGTATTAAAATTAATGTATGTCATTAAAAATTATCTAAAATATAAACAATCAACGTCCCCCTCCCCTGCGGGCCGTGGTAAAATTATCAAACGTTGACAGGTTCGCGGTGATAAAAAGGTTGGGGAACACTGCTCTAGAACACCTCAGAGAATTTCTTGGTGTTATTTTGCAGTGATGGGTTAATTTCAAACTGTAAAAATGAATAACCACCAAAGCTTAGATGATGGATCGAATTGTGGGAAGGCTAGAAGCAGGCTCAGGTCATACGTACAGAGTTCAATCTAACGCCCTGTTGTGTAATTTATGGAAACAGAATTCCATCCATCGAGAGCCCCGAGAAGATCGCCATTTATCTTGAATACTGATTTATATTTGACAGTTATTTTGTATAAGTATTGTATTCTAATTAAGTATACTCAACCTGAATTATTATTTAACTACAGTATACTCTCCATATCTCAAAGCTGAAAGGACGCTGAAAAAACTTCGAGATAACTGTTATAATTATTTATTATGTGCATGATTATATTTCCCATGTATATATTATTCTTGTAATGTAACTAATATTCAGTGGCAACACATAGTTTATCTGAGTGCTTTGGCAACAGTATGGTTTGTTGTCGTTTTTTTTGGCTTGAAAAATCGGTGAAATGTGTTCCTGTATGTAGTATGTAATTCCTCTGGGGAGTAGACAGCTTCATAGTTATACTATTTTGACGCTATAGACAGATTTTGTTTAGTACTTGCCTTGCGTTAACGCAACAATTTCCTATCCCTCAGCAATGTGTTGAAAAATTTTGGCACATGAGCTGAGAAAGCTCAAATAGCGTTATCTTAGGAATTATAGGAAACCGCAATGCTATGCAAAATCTCTCTATTCTCATAATTTATTTAATTGAAACAAGTATAACCATAAAATATACAATAGAAATGGAATGAGTAATCCACTATAAATATCTAAGGATTTTTATTCTGGATTTCAGGAAAGGCCAACTTTTTTTAGGTAAGAGTATCACTTCCTACTATTCTAATATGCCTTCAAAATATGTTAATTATAGTATGATTATGAGATTTTTACGCATTTAATTCATGTAAAATATAGAATAGAGGAGATTTGTTTACGTTTGCAACTATTCTTCCCACTTTATTTCAAGTAAGACAAGCCCATCAAGCATCCATTCTCTTAAATAATACATTTTATATGCGTACACAAAGATTCTTTCGCAAACATTTCAATTCCTTCACTATATATACAAAGACTGGCATGAAGCCAAGTGGAACATAAACAATCTAATTGAGCATCGAAGTTTCCAGGTACACAAAACAGAAATATATCACGGTTACAATAAAATACATAAACAAATTATAAATCTAAGGTAAATGAAAGGCATAGAAGGGAAAGAATTACATTTCAACAGATTCGATGTGCGATACAGCGCTGTATTTCATTCACTTTACGTTAATTAACATTCTAACTTTTGTGGAGAAACTTAGCTCAACTCTTAACACGCTATTTTGCTTATAAGCGATCTTNAAACTTTATTGTTAATCCACTTTTAACTGATCACCACCACTGTCATTTGGCGAAATTTTACTGTAACTTTAGTTTTTAGAGAAATTTTATTGTAATAATTTTACTTTTATCTCCGTATACCCCCCTTCAACCTTCTTATAAGCGATCAGCTGACGTCATAGATCACATATGTCGGTATACGTGGTCCTCTTCTTCTTGGAGAGCAATTGAATCGAGTCTCACTCGCACGTTTCCCAGTAAGATCACTGGGCAGTGGTCAATGAGCTCACTCCTTTAACCTGCGAAGGAATCGAGGTTATTTTTGTCCTCGTTATACCACCACATCCCCTCTGCTCTGTGATATCGGATCATCCTCAGAGATATTTCACATAGTGCGATACTACAATGACTCATTTAGGCACGGCTTAGCAGAATCTCCCACCGAAGCATGAAAATAGAAATCCCGTTGTAACCCTAGGTTTGTATTGTGTCTCTGGGTTTATGAGTCATTACCAATGGCCGTACATGGACTTAGGTGCGCCCTATCTTACACTTAATACAATATTTTTAAAATTATGAAGACAACAATAACTGTCAAAACTGTTTTTAAAGCCTTGGAGATTGGTTGTGATAATCACCGAAAAAAGCGATCAAAATACTAAATTGATTTAGATTTGGTGAGTTCAAAAATTTTAATGCGCCATTCAAAATTTCTGATCTTTGCAACAAAAAAACGTATACGTGTATATACATATATATATTTCAGGTTCAGGTCCTACAGCGGGCCTAAGGTTGTGCACCCCTATAAGTGTTATTATTTCTAAATCGTGTGCCTTCAAACATCATGCCCAACCCCCCTCCCAGCTCCGTTATTTAAGACACTGGTCATTACACTGTATAGCTCACGCAAACCCTTATCTGCATGTTAAATTCCTGATTTAGGGACATTTACTTGAAATATTCATTTATCATCCTTTTTAATGTTTTGATTATTATTTCAAACATAAGGCTTATCCTCACTGTCTGACGGAGTCCGACAAGATCCACGAGTTCGTTGATTGAAAGGAAGTCGAAGACTAGGAGAGGATTGCTAAAGAGATCCTCCTTAGAGAGTCCCATGCAATCCAAGAGGTGCTCAGGAGATGCCTGATGAATTTGGCCCTTTGTGACGAAGGTTTACCTGCCCTCGTTGAAAGTGAGGCACTTGATGTGACCGTTAGAAAGCCGTGATAGAACAAGTCCGGGTAAGTCTGTCTGACTGGAGGTCAAGGGACAAACCCGGTTTTGATCCCTTGTACCAATTATGGATTGGGGGTGTTTCCCACTCCTCCGAGATTTTTGATTTTTCCAGAGAAACTTAGAACATAAGGCTTAAAACTGAGAACGGAATTTCT